CCGAGCCCCCGACTCCCTCGGTCCATACAGCGCCGAGCCCCCGACTCCCTCGGTCTGTACAGCGCCGAGCCCCCGACTCCCTCGGTCCGTACAGCACCGAGCCCCCGACTCCCTCGGTCCATACAGCGCCGAGCCCCCGACTCCCTCGGTCTGTACAGCGCCGAGCCCCCGACTCCCTCGGTCTGTACAGCGCCGAGCCCCCGACTCCCTGGGCCATACAGTTCAGAAAAATCCATGGAAAAGCAGTTGGAGGCAATCTGGGGCTGGCCTTTCCCAGTGGAGGAGGGCCTGTCACGTGGCGTCGCCACAGAAGTGCTGCAAGGGCTGATTCGTGTGTCCCCCTGGAGTCCCATCCCCGCGGGCCGGCGGGGGGCTGCCCCTCCGGCCAGGAGGGGTGGGTCCCTCTCGCCCCCCGGAGCCAGGGGAGCCAGGCAGGCAGTGCTCACCTCCCACAGCCGCCACACGTCCGCAAAGGATCTGAAGACCCGCTGGAAGAAGAGGCAGAACCAGGGGAACAGCGACTGCACCACTCGGCCCTTCCCTTCTGCAGGAGAAAGCGCCCTCGGGTCAGGCAGCGAGGGGCAGCGGGGTCGGAGTCGCCCACCAGGCCTCACTGCCTTTGCTGCCGCCAATGCCGGGCTGCTGCCCAGCACAGCCATCCTGCTGCCAGGCCCGGGCGTGGCGTGGCCGTGGGGCCGGCAATGCCGTGCCGCACACAGGACCATTGGGATGCTGCCACGTGGCTGGGCAGCGAGGCATGGCCATGGCAACACCACGCGGTGTCCTGGCAAGAGGCTGTCGCACAGGCCCCCATGGAGTCGGAGATTCTGATGGCCTCTCCCAGGCTCGGAGAACATGAGTCAATATTGGAGCTGGCCCAGGGGAATGGCAGCCCCAGGGCGGGGGGCAGGGTCTGGGAGGGAGCAGGAGGGCAGAGAGTTGGAGTGCAGGAGGGGAGGGGAAGGTGCCAGAGGCAGGGAGGGCCCAAGCCAGGCTCCTCCTGGCCAGCAGTCCAGCAGGACCTTGGGCAGGTGCCCTGCCTGCACACCACTCAAAGCAGCCGGCTGCAGGGGA